TTCCCATCAGCGGTCAGGCTTGTTCCCAAAATTCCTTGGTAAGACCATCAATTCCTGGAGACTTATTGCTGTTCATGCAGTAGAGTGCTGCTTTTAATTCAACTATGGTGATTTGTTTATCCAAGTTAGTTGTCTGTTCTGTTGTAATCGTCTTGTCCAGGAAATGCAACATTTTGGATCTAGCTTCCCTTACTGACGCTGGCGGAGAGGAGGTTGTCTTAGTCTCATATAGCTCCTTATAAAAGTTTTTGGCGATTTCTAACATACCCTTGCTGTCGTTCCTCGTGACCTGACCCCCTGATAATTGAGTTCGACCTTTGGTTGACTCTTATTTTCGCGAAGAAGAATTTGGTCATCGATTCATTCAGTTCGTACTCTGTCATACGTGCTCTTATTTGTAAGCCTTTCAGTTCCCATTGTCTCCAGAGCGCCAATTTTTCTCTCGCCTGTTCAAATGTGGCCGAGTAGAGGGCTGAGGAGGGTTGATCTATAAGGTTAGATTCTGCTATCCTCAATGCTATTTCCAATGATTGTTTCCTTGCCTTCCTGTCCCTAGCTAATTTCCTCAACAAACGGGCTACCGATTGTGATAGTGAGAGGTAACTATCTTGAAACCATTTCCATTTGTCCTGTCCCTCTAATAACATGCCCTTGGAGTTTTGCCAGCAGGTCAAAACTTTTTCGCGGAAGGAATTGCTTAGGAGAAGGGAGTTGTTTAGCTTGTGAAAGCTAGATCCGTTGGTTACATACTGGTCAAAGCTGAATATTAGCTCAACTGGTTTGTGGTTCAGTCCTGCATAAGAAGCCAGTGCCAAGATGTCGGTCTCTTTAATTGTTCCCATTAGACTCTTAGAGGTGAGAAAGTAATCGATCCAGGAGAAAGTTGTGTGTTGTGCATGGTTCTTCTTCACCAGCGAGAAGACTTTCCTGTTTGGGTGTAGGATCCGGAATGGGTCCACGAGACTGTGGTCCAACATAAGTTTGAGCACAGGAGCTGCTTCCTGGGAGGCTTGGGTGGCTGCTGCCCTAGAGATCCTATCGTTGTTCGGGTCAAGGGTGGCGTTCCAGACCCTTGCTATGATGCATGCTTTGAGTGGTGGTACAAGTTGCCCAACATTTTGTATGAATTCTGCTCTTTCTGTTGGGTTATTGGGAGCGTAAATGTTGATGATTCTAAATTCCTCATCTCTCTATTTCATATCCAATATGCACCATCTCCCCGTTCCGTTGTCTGCATCCTTCCCTAACACTAGTCCTGCTGTGTATAGTCTTGAGGACTTAGGGATCACGATCACTGTGCCTTTTGTGCTAGAGGTACTGTCTGAGGCCCATACTTCATCCTTTATTCCGCCTAGCCTTTTTGTGAAAAGTTTCCTTATTTTTGTATGTTCCTCTGAGTTAGTTAGATGTGTCTCCTGTAGGAGTATTATATCAGCTGGTTTATTTGAGAAGTCTTTGAGGCCTTTAATTATGTCATTTAGGTGATAATATTACCCAGCCCATTCACATTCCAACTCCGAATTATAATGCCTTGTGTTTTCCAATTCACCAGCACACTCCTTTTATTCGCTTCCTTACTCAGTTGGTCCATACTCTAGCTTATTATATGATCATGGGAGAGTCGGACTAACCGCTTTAGGTGGCCCCTGAGCCCCCAGTCTCCATTGATTCGATCGCGCCGTCCGGGGGGTCCGTCTGAGTGTGTATCAGGGAGTCCTCTAACCTATATTCACCCAGGTTGTTGCTGCCACCTTTTGCTAATGGTGTCTCCCTGTTCCTCGTCCTCCATATCCCATTCGTCGTCCCCCTCCTCCATCTCTCTGTCAGAGCATTCATCTCTGTAATATATTTCCATGTCAATTGCGAAAGTTCTGGAGTCCAGGTCATCATCCCCTTCGAAAATCCCCTTGCTAATCAACTCAGCCAGGGCGGCGGCCGACAGTTCAACGGGGATGCCGATCCTTGACAACACGCCGTAGGGGATGACTGTCACCATGTTCCTCGATCTCCACCTCATCCCGCTCCTCAACTTTGTGCCTTCCGGCATTCTCGCGATGAGAGGGGTGAAAGATCTGGGTGATCTGGGGTCTATCTTGTCATCAATATCACGCTGATCCTCCTGAGGTTCTTTCCGTGCATCGCTCACCTGCTGGGAAATTAGGGGATCAACCTCAAAGACCCCCAGTGGCCAAGTGGGTACGCTGTTGTGATTTTCTCCTGGAGGACCGATGCAACATTCTGCCCTTTGTCAATCCTTGGGATTGCAAAAGACACATAAGTGGCTACCTGCCATTCTTTCTTCTCCTCAATGAACCGAGCTGCCAGTAGGGGTCTTGTTCCCATCAGAGTCAGCCTAGCAGATTGTGCTTGCCCCAACACCTTTGGGGCTTTGCCGTTTGCAATTTGTTTGAGTGTGAAGTACTCCGGTTCATATGCTGTGTTCAATTTCTTGGGCTTCTCAGTCTGGGCTTCAACCACTGAAATTTCCTGTTCAAGTTCACTCCTTGCTGATTTCTCTGCTGGTTCCTTTTCAGCCTGGCCTCTGTTGTTCCCTTTCTTATTCGGGTTCATGGAGGTTTCCCATTTTTTGGATCTCGAATCGCTCAGTGCATCCTTGGAGTCAGCTTGTGTTATGTCCTTGTGCCTCATCCCTTGTTCCCTTGCCCTCTTCTTCTCCGTGTATCTGAATGATGCATACTCAGAGAACTCCTCTGCTTTGACCCAAAGGTCAAAATGGTTCGGGGAGGTCTTGAAGCCTAAAGTTGTGTTCTTTTTTTGATTCTGCGTTCTTTCCATGTGCTTCAAGCAAGCTGCGCGGATGTCAAAGAGGTGTTCCCGGTCTGCCTTCGCCTTCTCAATGTACTCCTTCAGCCATTGGAGGGATCTCCTTTTGAATCATCCTCATTGCTACCGGGACCTGAAGTTCCTGTGGTCTCAGCAGACTTACCGTTGTGTCCCTGTTCTCCTTCCGATGGATCTGTTTGTTGTCCTTCTTTGGGAGGGTGCAGTAATCCTTCGTTGTTACCATTCACTGTCCCTCTTCTTTTTTTGGCATCCGGTTCGCCCCCCTCTTTGTTCCTTCCTTCTTCCTTCTTTCTCTTGTTGGCAAATTCCTGTTTTACCTCTTCCTCCCTGCTGGTGATGATATTTTGGATTCTGGTCTGGAACCGCTCTGTTTTTTTTTTTATATTCTTCTTCCACCTGTTCCCTTACCAGATCTAGGTCCCAGATCAGATTCTCTCTTGCCTTTTCTTCCAGGATGACACGGGAATCATTAATCGGGACTGCTCTGATCTTTGCTGGATTGCATGTCTCTTTGCTTGTGGCCTTCTTCTGCCAACTGCTGTCCGTAGGGGGGAAAATGTCAGGTTTCTTCGTCGTTGGCTCCTTATCAGTGAAATGCCAAACCCACTCCGGTTCCTCCAGGTTATCATCGAACACCCACCCATCGTAGGTGGGGTCAACTATGTACCATGTCCCCGACGCATCCTCTACCTCGACCAACATGTTGGGGTGCAGTTTCGTTTCCTTCTGATTCTTTGGGAACTTGGGGCACGCAAAATTAGACCCCGCATGACCCCTCTCTCTGCATCTGAAGCAGATCGGGGACGTTTTGGTGGAGACAGTGATTTCCTGTATCCTATCTTGGATTTGGAATTCCCATATTCGAGGGAAGACCGGAGGATCATCGACCTTCACTTCCAAGACGCCGGTCATCGTTCCTACGTGAGGGGAGAAGAAGTCTGGCATTGGTGAGATCCATTTGATAATTTTGTTTGTCGGATACTGTCTTTCTAGTTTGTCCACCACCAGCCCATGGTAGCCTGGCTGGATTCTGTCAAACTGGACCCAAAACTGTTCTTTTAACAGAGTTTGCTTGTATGAGACTGAGAAGGAGGGGTTGGGTCTTGCGTTTGTTTGTTTCTTCCACTGTGTGATCGTGCAAATTGACCCACTGCAGTTCCTCGATTTCATTTGTGTTGCGATTCTTGCATGCTCCTCCGAATTGAAGATTACCATCACTGCTGTGCGACCCAGGTTCATCAGAGAGAAGGATTCGGTTGACGATTTCAATTTGTCGTCTTTTCTAATTGTTTCAGTTATCCACTTCCTTTTCTCTGTTGGCATCAGATCTGCTCCATTCCTTGCGAAGTTGAAGATCACTGCGTGTTTCTCATGGAATTCGTCCAGTTCGGCCACTTTGTCGTCTGGATATTTCCATATAATGGTTTCATCTGCATTCCCTTCCGTGTTCGGTTGCTTTTTTATCACTCTTTCTCCTTGCACTTTGTTTTTTTCAATGATAAACTTCAAGGCTCCGTTGTCGATGATCTTTGCTGACCCTTCGTTCGGTTGTGTTGTGCGGCCATTGGCAAACGTCCCTTGGAGAGTTTGCTTGAAGGACCCTGGAGTCCCGTTGGACCTAGGGCTCTGCATTTCTGTACCTCTTGGTGGTGGCCTTGCTAGCGAGGTACTGGACTTGAGCGGACTTCGTGAACAGATTGTGTGGATGTGGTCTGAATTGTTCGTAGGTGGACAAAACGTAGGAGGCTGAGAGGGGGTGGTAAGAATAGGATCAGGGTGGGTCTGTGCAATGTGGTTCTGAGAAATGGATTGGAATGAGCCTAACAGGCGTTGTAGCGACCTGAGAGAAAATTGGGGTAGGAGCGGAGTGGATATGTCCTTAGACCTGTCAAGGGCCTGGAGGATGGAGCGTGATTCTACAATCGTGTTAGGGGTGATTGATGGAAAGGTGTCCGCAGCACGGTGCTGTGACGTAGGAATCGCCAGCCGGTGGATGGGGTTCGGTAAAAAAAAAGGAAAAAAAAAAGAAAAAAAAAAGGGCATGAGTTATGAAATTTGTTTGATTATTCTTAGATCAGTATAACTCTCTCTGGTAGGGTGGTGTTCTTATGATTCGTAGTTGTGTTGGAATATGCTATTTCGACTAGAGGGAGGAAGTGACTAGAGGGGACGTTAAAGGTGGTGATGGCGGTCAGGTGGTAATGATGGTCAGGTTGTGGGGAAGGTGCGTTGCTACAGGGAAGTGAACGAGGGAGATGAATTAGGTGGAGGAGAAGAGTGGGATGATGACGATGAGTTATCTTATTGGGAAGGACCCGGAGGAGAAGAGTGGGATGATGACGATGAGTTATCTTATTGGGAAGGACCTGGAGGGTCGTGGAGTGGCAGCTTGTGGGCGAGGGGTTGGATTAACGGGCGCGAGGGGTTGGATTCACGGTCGAAGGGGATTGCTGGAATCCGGGGGAGGGCCGAAGAAGAGCCGGGGAGGGGGGAGGCGACTGGGTCATTGGGAGAGAAGGTGAATGGGGGATATTGATCCGGGTGAGGAGATCGGCCTGTGTTGTAGGTGGTGATTACAGTCTGGTTATGCTGACGGGGCGTTGCTGTTTGGGCAGTGAACGATGGAGATGAAATAAGTGGAAGAGAGTAGTGGGGTGGCGACGATTAGTTATCTTATCAGGAATGAACTGGAAGGACGTGGTGTGTCAGCTTGCGGGCAAGGGGTTGAATTAACTGGCGAGAGGGGTTGTATTCTCGGTCGAAGGGGGTTGCCGGAATTCGGGGGAGGGACGGGGGAGATCCGGGGAGGGGGGAGGCGCCGGGGACACTGAGAAAGAATGTGGATGGGAGAGATCGATCCGGGTGAGGAGACCGGGCTATGTTGTATGTGGGTAGGGAGGGATCCTTCGG